CTTGCCTGCTAGAAATTACCAATGAGGTGAGTTTCCTGGAAATTTGACTTTCCTTTAGGGAGGTTCCTCACCTGAATACAAACCTGGCTGCCATCCTGGCCTAAATTTCTTTACCTGTTGTTTCCCTCATAAACTGTTCAATGCCTGAAATAGCAACTTGACAGCATTTGCCAAAATGGATTTTAACAGAGCTGCACCTCCTAAATCTTGCTCTCTTCCTCTCTTCCTCTCTGGCAGACATGGAGAATATCTGTTTGGCGTGCCTCACAGGCAGAGGGCTGGATTCTCATCAGCCAGGCCCCTGCCATTAGGCTGGTTCCCATGAACCTCTCTAGGTCTTTTTCATCACCTATTTCAATCTAAAAGATATTGAAAAATGACAAAATTAAGCCAAAGTGTGGTATGCATTAGCATATTTTCCTGAGCTGCATAAGTTTTGCCTTGAAGATGAGCTCCAAGGGAACTGTGTCACTTTGGTGCTCCCAAATTAGAAGTGGCTACCTAACCCAAGACCTGCAAAAGCGTTGTTTTCCTGGGGTGACACCAGCTACAGAACCCTTAGTGGATGCTGGCAGATGACTCTGGCTCGTGTGGATTGCATGTCCCTTAAGTCCTTCTGGAAGTGCAGCAGAAATGGCATCAGGCAGACGTTTTTTTTTAAGGTTTGAATGGAAATATTAAAACTCTGAAACCCACCCCTATCCTTTGGAGTCCATGTGAGACTTCCTTGTCAGATTGTATGAACATCAATTCCTTTTCTATCCTAAGTGTTCCATATTTAGTCCCCAGCTTGCTCCAGGGGTTGAAAGTTTGGCTAAAATTATCTTTCTTTTTAAAGAGTGAGAAAAGTGGTGTTTCACTTTATTTTTGCTTGTCAGGCAAACTTTCAAATCATCTAGTTCTGACTAGCTAGGAAAACAGTTGATAACCTTCATGGATTTGTGGATGTGAAGGTTTCATCTTGCTATCTCTTTTTTCTTCCATGTCCTATTTAGTATTGGGGTCCTGTTCTGTTCTTCTCTGCCAAGAAGATAAAAACACTACTGAAAAAATTTTCACAGTGGATTCAGTTGTGGGAGGACAGCAGTAGGAACATTAATGTTTTATTCCCAGATTAAAGTTGATTCGGGTTGTTATGTTTTGCGTAGTTTTTGGAGGTGTTCCCCTTTCTTAGAGTATCATGTGATTTATGGTGGTAATTAGGCAGAAACTTGTCTTCCCTACAGATGCCAAGATTATAGAGGGACTTGCTCACACCAGAGACCAGATGACAGCATCCATAGATATTTTTAGAATGGATCTCATCATTTATTTGGTGCCCCCATTTCATTTTCTTTGCATCAAGAATTGATTTTAAACTTGTTTATTGGGCAGGGAGGGGACAGAGGGTGTCTTCCCCCTATTAATGAAAATCATCGATAGAACAGAACAACATTTTTATATTTATTGTTAATAAGCATATTGCCTAGTAGTTGCACAGTAAGCTACAATTCCATTAGCTATATGCTTCCTTTTCCTTCCAAAAGTTTTGCTTAATCTAATGTGGTTTTTTTGTAGCATTTTAAAATTTTATTTATTTTGAGACTGGATTATGAGACTAATTTTTGTATTTTTGGTAGGGACAGGGTTTCACCATGTTGCTCAGGGTGGTCTGAAACTCCTGGACTTAAGGGACCCTCCTCAGCCTCCCAAAGTGATGGGACTACAGGCATGAGCCACCATGCCTGGCCCCTTGATCTGATGTGTTTTTAAACTAGAAGAGCATCAAGACATAACATGTAAATCTCACAGTTAACTAAATAACTGTATAACTAAAATGTCATACTTTAAACAATGGAAGAATGACATAAGCTTTCTTAAAACCCGTGAAATTTGTACCCAAGCTAAGTATCATTGACTTTCCCAGCTCAGTAGCTGGGTTTCATCCCTTAAAATCCTCCCTCTACCCTTTCTGTCCTTGATTGAATCAGATAAGGATGTATAAACATTGAGCCACGGAAGAGCCATTAAAAATCTAAGACAGATGAGTTACTGCTTTCCTTTTGATTATTTTTATTATCCCAGTTTTCATTGTGAATGGTGATTCTGGTGTTCCTCTGAGAAGGATAATTACATTTCTATTCAACATTTATCTTTTATATTTTCAGTGTTTTACAATTTGTTTTACTTCTGTCACAGTGGAAACCAGTGGCCTTTCTATTCTCTGGAGTGGGAGTTTCTGTATTAAATTTGTCCTCTGCAAGAGTTGCCTCTATACCTGGGCCAGATCCTCTACCTACTCAGCTTATAAGCACCAAGGCGGTTTCCTGAGCAGGCCTCCCTGGGAGGGCATTGCCTGGGAGACCTCAGAGGAAGCTGTAGAACCTGTGTTTCACCAGTGACCCCAACCCCATTCTGCAGAAAGGGAAAGTGGTGATTAGCCCGTCTCCTTTCTAATAATGGAGTTCTCAGAAGATTTTGGGCCTTTTGATGAAGGAATGTATATTTAGCCTGGGAACTATGGTTGGCTGGTGCTTTAGACTGCCCCACATGGGCCTTCTACCCCTGGCTTCGGGGTGATGGCCTGTTCTGCTCAAGATTGTGCTCAGTTAGGGGCTCGTGGGTATCCTCTGCCCTCTTCCCTCCTGCGTTTGCCCAGCCCACATTAGAGCAAGCCACACTCCCTGTCTCTGTACTTGGGGAATGAAGTATGTCACCTTCCCATTATGCACTGGCTTCTGTGGCTGCATAATTAATACCCAAGGGAAATGGAGAGGAGTCTGAATTAGGTAGTACTTTACAGCTTCTCCCTCGGCACTTACAGTAAGTCAGGATCGGGACTTAGGGATGGCAGTCCCCTGATGACTAATTGCATAGTGATGTTGGATAGTGGTTTATTAAGTGTTATTGTGAAGGAAAAAAACAAATTCTCTTCCAGAGGACTGTGTCTGTGAAACACTATCTAATCATTCATACTTTGTGGGGCAAGGCAGAGTGGCTGGAATAGCACTGGCTTTAGCAAGCTACAGTGTTCACAGATGCTGAGATCTAGTATTTACCTTTTATTCCCTCTGGAATCAACAAGTCATCATTTTGTAGTCCAAGATAATATTATCTAGTAGCTTTATGAAGCAAAGAATGCCCCCAAAAAACCATCAGCCAGGGAAACTAAATCATAGGAATAGGCAGGAAGAAGAAAGGGGCTTCTTTTTCTACTTTATTGTCCTTGCTTCCAGTATAAAACAACCTAAATTCTTCAGTTTGGAACTATAACAAGGATAAGTAAATATGACCGTGGGCATGTAACATTGTAAATACTATAAGTCCTGCTGTCTTTGCAAATATTGATAGTGAAAGGTAAGATTGCCAACAACTGCAGGGTCACAGAAGAGATTGAGGTTACAGTACACTCACAAGAATTCCTGTTGACCACACAGTAAGGCTCTAAAGGAGGGAGAAGCAGATGTATATAATGTGATTTTGTGTGTGAGTTTATGGATGCATTTTTCGTTACTTATTTACCTTGTCTGGTGAGAAAAGCATGAGTTTATGTTGTTTCACTACCACTTTTCTATCCATTTGTTGGCCTAGAGCTATTTATTTACTACCATAACTGCCAACACTGTCTGCATAAACAAAGGATCCTGTGTCTGGACGTCTGTCACGTCAGTTCCTTCTGCTATTCATACATCTCTATGAGTATACTGTTTTTCATCCTTTAACTTTTCTGGGCCCAGTGGTCACATGACATCTGGAAGACCTAAATCAAGTCAGATGCTCTAAGAGTACCTCTCACCTCTTTTGTGCCTTTCCATTGAAGACAAAATAATAATTGGAGGCAAAATAATAATAATGTTGTTAATTGTTAATGGGATGTTTTGTGGGGGATTTCTTGGCCATATATGTGTGTGATAAATTTTTTTCTGTGCAGATTTGTAATACAAAAATCAAATTCCTGAGCCAGGTGTATTGGCATACCTGTAGTCCCAGCTACTCAGGTGGCTGAGCTGGGAGGGTCTCTTGAGCCCAAGAGTTCAAGTCCAGCCTGGGCAACATAGCAAGACCCTATTTCTTTAATTCCTAAGGTGGCCCGCTTAGAAATTACTTACTCTTTTTATGGTGGGGATTGGGGGAATCAAGATTACCCACAACCAGCAGTGCAGACTTATTAACGTGTTTATAGAAAGTGGCATTTCGGTCAGGCACAGTGGCTCAAGCCTGTAATCCCAGCACTTTGGGAGGCCGAGGCAGGTGGATCACAAGGTCAAGAGATCGAGACCATCCTGGTCAACATGGTGAAACCCCATCTCTACTAAAAAAATAGAAAAAATTAGCTGGGCATGGTGGCGTGTGCCTGTAATCCTAGCTACTCAGGAGGCTGAGGCAGGAGAATTGCCTGAACCCAGGAGGTGGAGGTTGCAGTGAGCCAAGATCGCGCCATTGCACTCCAGCCTGGGTAACAAGAGCAAAACTCGGTCTAAAAAAAAAACAGTGGCCTTTCATCTCCCCTGGTGTTGGGGTATTCATGGAAAGGGATGGTAAGCAGTTCAGTTAGTCCGCATAGCCAGTAGAGGAGAACCAGAAAAGTGTAACTCATCTACTTAGGGTAACTGGTTCTCCTTGTTTTAGCATGCAAAGTCCCATGTCCTAAGAAATGCCTTAGTCCGGAAGTCTAGAACAGAATCTCATCTGCATCTTCTAACTAAATGGAACCCACAAAATACCCTAATATGGTTTTCTTTGCTAATCTCCCAAAGTGAATGATCCCATTCCCTTTGGGCTTTTCAACTTCAGAGCATTTTGTGATAAGGACAACATGAGAAACAAGGTAGGTAATCTTTGTGCTTTGTCCATAGGATTTCAGACCTTCGAAACTGGTGTAGCAGAGCAGCTTTGCTGCGCCAGCCCTGGGCTCTGTGGTCGGTGAGGGAGATGGGAGGCCTTGACAGGTGGCCCTCAGGTACCCACTGTTGCTGTTGGAATGCTCTAATGATATCTGGTTTTCTTTTCTCCTCCTCTAGACCCTCAAACTGACACAAGTCCTACAGAGAAAACCCTTTGCCAAATCTGCTCTCAGCAAGTGGACAGTGATACCGTTTACAGCTTAACACCTTTGTGAATCCCACGCCATTTTCCTAACCCAGCAGAGACTGTTAATGGCCCCTTACCCTGGGTGAAGCACTTACCCTTGGAACAGAACTCTAAAAAGTATGCAAAAATCTTCCTTGTACAGGGTGGTGAGCCGCCTGCCAGTGGAGGACAGCACCCCTCAGCACCACCCACCCCTGTTCAGAGCACACCGTGAGCCCCCGTCGGCCCTTCTGTGGTGGTTTAATATTGCGATGGTTTATGGGATGTTTTAAGTGTTGTTCTTGTGTTTGTTTTCCTTTGACTTTCTGAATTTTTCACATGCATTAACTTGTGGTATTTTTCTGTTAAAATGTTAACTGTCTTTCCCCTAGCAAATTTTAAAACAGAAGGAAAATGTTGTACCAGTTACCATTCCAGCTTCGGGCATCACAAGCTTTTGAACCCATGGAACTCCATAAACTAACACATTACATAAACTAGAGGGAGATTTTCTTTCTTCTTTTGTTTGGTAGAAAATTATCCTTTTCTAAAAACTGAACAATGGCACAATTGTTTGCTACGCGCACCCGTCCAGGACCGAACCATGCACAGGCAAAACGAGTGGCGCACAGTGTCCCGCTCAGTGTGTTTCCAATTCTGAGGCCGGGTGGTCTGTGGACGAGACCCCAGCACCAGGTCTTCGGGTGCCAGATCAGTAGGGCCTGTGATCTCTAGTCCATGTCCTCAGCTAGTGTGAGCAGTGTTGGTCTGTTGGTTAGAAACTAGGATATTTTCAGGAAATAAATCAGCTCAGCTCTCCACTGATTGCCAAATACCACTAAAGGGTTTAGTTTTAAGGAGAAAGAAAAATAAAAATAAAAAAAAGTAGTCCTGTTTTGCTTTGCAGAAGAAATGAACGTAAAGGTGAGCATTAAGCTTGCAGTGAGAAATGTGTGAAGAGTAAAAATCCAAGTCAGTGCTGAGGCAGTTCTAACTTCACTGATTTCCTAACTATACATCCTTGATTATTTTCAGCCTTGCTATGTATAATCTGATCTGCTAGAAGTGTATGAGTGAGAGGCAGTAGCATACAAACTGATTTTTTAAATATAAGCTTAGGTTGTAATTGTACAAGTGACACAATGGAAGTATAAAATAAGGCAGTTTTAACTTTTTTTTATGCTTCTGCGGATTTCATTTTGTTGTGTTTTCAAAAAGTTATGGTGCTGTATAGGTGCTTTCTGTTTAACCTGGAAAGTGTGATCATATTTGTTACCTTCTTTGGTGGATGGAATAGTTGGGACCACCTTTGGTACATATGAAGTTGGTGATGATGCTCTGATCAGCACAGCATATGCATACTTCTCCAAAGTGATACATGAAGACTCTTTTCTTTGCATAAAAAGCATTATGCTTATAAATGTATAAATATATTTTATCATGTACAGTACAAAAATGGAACCTTATGCATGGGCGTTAGGAATACAGGCTAGTACTTCAGCACAGACTTCCCTGCTTGAGTTCTCGCTGATGCTTGCACCATGACAGTGGGCACCAACACAGACGTGCCACCCAACCCTCTGCACACACCACCAGGGGCCCCCTTGTGCGCCTTGGCTTTATAACTCCTCTGGGGGTAATATTGGTGGTGATCACAGCTCCTAGCATCATGAGAGTTCCATTTGGTATTGTCACACGTCTCCTGCCTCGCTTGGGTTGCCATGTTTGAGCGATGGCCCTGTTGATTTCATCCTGCCTTTTACTGAATCTGTAATTGTTGTGCAATTGTGGTTATAGTAGACCTGTAGCACATTGCCTTTTATAAACTGCTACATGTTTATAATCTTCATTTTTAAAGTATGTATAATTTTTTAAAGTATGTATTCTATTCATATGGTCTGCTCGTCAGTGAGCCAGACGTGCTTACTATATTCCTTTAGAATAATGCCAGCCACTTCCTGGATTCTTTACTAGTGTGCTGTATGCAAGAACTTTCCAGTAGCAGTGAAGGGGAGGGTTGCCTCTCCAAGCTTCCTAAGGGGTGCTGCCCTGGGTAGGGATGCACTGCACAGGCAGTAGGAGCATGGGGCTGCATTGGGGAGTGTGCTGGGAAGGGGTGGGGGGAATCTTACATGCAAGGAGAATTCCAGAGTCTTTCCAGCATGAAAGTCCTGAGAACTTCTGTCCTGAGTTCAGAGAATCATGCAAAGTAACTAGCAAAATACCTACCTGCCTTTGCAGTTTTACAGACCCTGGAAGCTGCTTTGGGAGCCGCTTTGAAGGCAACCCTCCAATGTGTTTCAATTTAAAAATGTTCAATTCTTTTCAGACATGTGGTATCTCATTTATTCCTTTTCTAATGCTTGTTGGATTTCAGGCAGAATGTCTTACAGAATGTCCTAGAACCAGATTATCATTTAATCCGGAACAGCTGAGGAAGGGACAGAGGAGGTACAAGGGCAAGGCAGCACAAAACAGTTTAGGAAAATGAGGAGGGAATGCTTTGGTTTTGTTTTGTTTTTTCTTTTTCAGTAACTAAAACAGCATCCACATGTAGAGTGTTATGGAGAGCTGAGACCAAGGCAAAGTCAAGTGCAACATCAGTACTGTGAGACCTGCCAGCCCCAAGAGAGGGTCATCCAAGAATCTGGTAGTGACGCCTGTCTAGGGTCCCGGCACCCTCACCCTCAGCCAGCTGCAGAGATGCCAGCCCCCCAGAAACTAGCCCGGTTCTAAAGTGGTCAGGCTGGGCAGGGGTGTTACCTGAGCCCTATGCCCCTTATATTGAGACCCTGCTTTCAGGATGAGCCAACTGTTGGCCACCATGTCACATTCTGAGTGAGTGTCATGGGTCCCGAACAATAATTTTCTGATCTGGAGCATCTCAGCAGAATCCTTAGCCTCAAGGGGTCTGGCAGCTGTAATGTTTGATTTATGATGAGAACTATCTGAGGCCACCCTCAGCCTCTAAATAAGCTGCTGTAGGGAGCTGCCTACTTTTTGATGGGAATTTAGAAGAGGACCTAATGTTGAAAACATGACATGCACTCTTGGGATCTGCTGTTCTCTTCAGGGCTCCAGAACCTGTTACCTGTTACCAAAGCTAGGAAAGAGCTTTATCACAAGCCTTCACTGTCCTGGCATGAGAACTGGCCGCCAGGCTCAGTGTACCCATTAACTGTGAATGAATCTCAGCTTGGTTTCCTTTTATTGCATCCTCTGCAATATAATGACTGCTGAAACACATTTTACAAGTTCAGAAGTTTGTCACTCCCGTAAATGGGAAGATCATGCACACATGTGTAGTACAAGGTGGACTCTGTGTTTGTTTTTGGTGTTGATTTTTAGCATTGTGTGTGTTGCTTCCCCACCCTGAGGAGAGGACACCATGGCTTACTACTACTCAGGACAAGTATGCCCCTCTCAGGGTGTGATTTCAGGTGGCTTCCAAACTTGTATGCAGTTTAAAGATGGTAGGGACTGACTTTGCCTCTACCTAGTTAACCCCACTTAAAGAATAAGGAGCATTTTAATCTCTTGAAAAAGACCATGAAGAATAAAGCAATCAAAAAGAAGTCCTCTATGTTGGTGCCAAGGGCTTGCAAGGGGAAAGAAAAATGTTATCCATCCTCTCAAAGCAAAAAGGAAACCCCGACAGCTCTGAACTCTGGTTTTACTTTTCTTGCTGTATTTGGGTGAACATTGTATGATTAGGCATAATGTTTAAAAAAATTTTTTTTTTGCAGGGGTAGAAATGTAATCATCAGTAAAGAGGTATGGAAAAGCCAGCCTCTCTTGGAGGCCAGGGAGGCAGAGAACTACTAGGGGAAGTGAAGTTCTGATGGAATCATGCCTGTCAAACAAGATCTTAAAGCAGATGCCCAAATAAAAGACTATATTATATTTGATCTAAATCTTGAGTGGGTAACATTTTATGCAGTTTAAATGAACGGAATATTTTCTTCTTTAATCTGTTTGTATTTTTCTTTGATGAATGATTGGTCATGAGGCCTCTGCCACACTCCAGACATATGTGTGCGGCTGCTTTTAAAAACTGTGTCTGGTCACTTATTTCTCTAAAATTATCTCATTGCCTGGCAATCAGTCTTCTCTTGTATACTTGTCCTAGCACATTATGTACATGGGAAATGTAAACAAATGTGAAGGAGGACCAGAAAAATTAGTTAATATTTAAAAAAATGTATTGTGCATTTTGGCTTCACATGTTTAACTTTTTTTAAGAAAAAAGTTGCATGAATGGAAAAAAAAGTCTGTATACAGTATCTGTAAAAACTGTCTCATTGGTTTCCATTCCTTGCTCATACCCCATATAAACTAGAACTAAATATGGTGCGTGGCCATATTTAAACACCTGAGAGTCAAGCAGTTCAGACTTTGGTTTGAAGCACCTCATCCTGCTCTCAATGCGAACACTATCATATGGCATTCTCACTGAGGATTTTGTCTAACCATATGTTGCCATGAATTAACTCTGCCGCCTTTCTTCTCAAGGATCAAAACCAGTTTGATTTGGAAATCTTCCCCTTTCCAAATGAAAATAGAGATACAGTACTTACTTTCCTTGGTGTTTGTAGATATTGCCTTGTGTATTCCATTTAAAACCGTAATCTAGTTTGTAAAAGAGATGGTGACGCATGTAAATAAAGCATCAGTGACACTCTGTCTTACTCCAAGAGGTCTCTTTGTTATCCCTCACCCTTTCTTGAACCCTAAGAATAAAACGGCAGAGTTTATCTCAAGGTCTCCCTGTGGAATTCCCTCACAGGCTGGGAGAGGCACAAAGCTGAGAGACTGTATCATGAAATCTTTAAGTGAACCTTGTAAACCTTTTCTGTGGCCCACTTCTGACCTCCACAGACAACCTACAACTTAATAATGGCAGATTTACGGCGTGGTTCATGGTGGCTGATAGCCACTTTTGGTATGCTCTGAGTCATGTTGCCCAGGGAGCTCTGAATAAGTAGAGAGGCGGGATTTAGAGACGGCCCTCACAGAACCTCCAAGGTTGAGGCTTTAACTTGTCAGTTCCTTGACCTGGATGAGGTCCTCCTCACGTGAGTCCAACACATCAATGTTGGTCGGCAGCAGTTCCCTCCTGCATCCTGAAAGTCAGATACCACACTTTAGGCTTCTGGTGGCAACAGCATATTTCCTCTGTGTGTACCTTTAGGGCCTCCTGAATTAAGTGAGAGGGAACTCCACCTGCTGTGCAACTATTCTTACTAATCTGGAGTGTGTTTTTTCATTTTAATAGCCATATAAAAGTTATGCAGACGACATAGAATAAGCAGGATCTATTTCAATGTCCCACATAATATGATAGTTCTCATTTCAGCTCAAGGAGGTGAAAGATTTTGAACTTGGGAGTTGGGGGTAAATTTTGTATGGGTGGAGAGTCATGCTTTCGAAAGTTTTCCTCAACACTGTTTTAATTGCTTACAAAGGTAAAACTTCACCGTCTCCTAATGCCAAAGCTTACTGGGGATGGGTGTTTCACTTGAGGGTACTTTCCCATTTTTATTCTGTCTTCCAGAGGATTAAAGACAGAATTCTAACATCAGTTATGACAAGATTCTTAATAGGGAGTTCTCCAAAACCAGGTAAAAATACAACCAGAAACTAGTAAGTTAATTTATTGATAAACAGGAAGTCGGTCTCCAGTGTGGCAATGGGTCAGCCTCTGCATGGGCATCAGGAGAACCAGGATCCCTGCGCCTGCCCCGCAAGAGGGTGTGGTCTAGGAGTGACCTCTCCACTCCACTTGGAGGGATCAGGGGCCAGCTGCTTACTCTCCTGCTTCAGCTTCTTGTTTAAAAGAGGAAGAGTTTGGACTAGTTAATCTCAAACACATTAGGGATTTGATTTTGCAATTATTCAATAGTGAGGGCAAAGCTTTAGGCCAGCAGATGTTGTTTTGATGTGTATCAGCCAAGTCACTCACACCACAGCTGGGATACTGGGGTCCCAGGCAGAGAATTCATAGCCACCATCTGCCAGACACCAGCACACACACACGTACACACAGTCACCCACAACCCAAACCCTGAGACATGGGAAGTAGAAGGATGGTTGTGGGTTGGTGGTGGGGCGCAGTCTGCGGTACCCTGAGCTTCTTGCAGCCCTGTGGTGGGAGCCAGTAGGGGAGAGTATTCCAAAAAGGGCCCACTCTAGCTCTGTTTTCTTCTCCATCAAAGAAAAGCAATGACACTGGGCCCAGAGGAACAAACACATTTGGAGCAGGAGGAAGAGTCCTTTTCCCCAGATTTTCCTCATTCAAAAGCCGAAAGAAGACCGTCAGCAATATTTAAGACCTGAAGAAAACTAGATTACGTGTGCGCATGCATGTTTGTGTAGTTCTGCAAAGCAACTGTCACATAGTAATGGCTCAGAACTGTTGGGGTTTGCCTGCCTTCTCGGAGAACTTGCTAGAAACACAACAAACATCTCCACTCTTACCTGAGGAGAAGTCCCAATGCCCCGCTAGTATTAGCACAGGATCTCCTCTGTGCATCCTATGATCATTCCTCCACCAGCACCTGTGTGTGCCAGGTGCTATGCTTGTGTTGGTGAGATGAGTCGAAGGGGCTGCGCGGAAGTGTGTAGGCCTGCTGGCATGTACTTGAGCACCTGAGTCCTGTGAATGCTGCTAAGGATAGGATGGAGGGACAGGAAGTTAACATTTGAGCTAAAAGGCAGACATCCCTCTGGCTGTCTGGCTGAAGTGATGAATTCTGAAGATAGGAAGGACTGGAACATGCTCAGGAAACAGAGGTGGGCTTGTTTGGGATTTAAAGAGCTCAAAGAAGGTGAGAAGTCAGGCAAGAAAAGAAGGCTGCCAGAAAATTGGAGAGCAAGGAGCGTGGAGTTTGTGACTGAGCATGAGAAACCAGCAGGGTGGAGGCCTGGTCAGAGCTGGCCTTTGGGAAGGGCCCAGGGGCACACTATAGGAATGGACTCTCAAAGGAAGATGTCAAGGAAACGAGAAAGCCTGGTGATTCTAGAACTGTTCTCACAACCTGGCACCCACAGAGAATGATGTTTATGTGGCCCACTGAAGACTGAGAAAACTGCTCCAGGTTTCAGGTGACCAACTCGGCTCTCCCAACCACAGTCCCTGGAGATCACCCTAAGGGCTGAGGGAGCAAGAGGTCACACCCCTGTAACTTTCCGACCAGGCTGGGAACCTCTGATCTGGAAGAAATCACAAGAAATTTAGTAATGGGTTAAGTCTGGAGGAGGGAGGCAAGGGAGTTTGGATTTCAACTCCTCACCTGGTGTACTGTTATCAAAGTGGAAGTGTATTATAATTAAATACAGCTTCTAAAAACCAATTGGGAGAAGCTGACTTTGACTCGAGACTGGAGGGAGTGCGGAGTCAGATGGGAGAAGGGTATTGTGGAGAAGTAGAGGTGACGAGATGGACTCTCACCGACAGGAACAGGACCGTTGAAATTCCTATCTTCAGCACTTTGAGTTTCCATAACCGCCTCATGTTAACATCTTGGATATCACAGTATAGGAAGTACCCGATCAGAAGAAAGGAATATGATGCATCTATCAAAACAATGATCATGAAAACTATGCATATACATTTTTAAAAAACATGTATTGTTTTGGACACATGCTTAGAAGGGTAATTATCTATTGCTCTTATATTGTAACCTTATATGTTGATAGAAAAATAAAAAGCAGAATACAAGTAATACATAGCAGTGTAGATCTGGCTTGGAGGAGTGCTGAAAGGTAAAATGTAAAAATAATTCTTGTGTCCTGGACACTCTGGGCCTCACCTCTGGACTCATGCCCTTGGTATTGCCACCAGAGTCAGAGAGCATATGAGCCACACCTGAGCCCCAGTAGGAGGCAGGAGCTAGGGGTCAGGAAGGCACGGCCTCCGTAGGAGAAGAGGGAGGGACTCTTCCGCCCACTAAGGTGTACCCAGTGGGTACTCCAGGTAGGAAGGGAGTTCTCATGCTGGGACATGCCCTCAAAAAGACATGTGTCCATTGTAGGACAATTGAGTCATGGTATTTTTTTTTTTTTTTTTTGCAAAATTATCTTCATTTTGTTGCACTTCGTTTTAAAATGAATATTTTGAAAGGTAGTACATTCATATGATAAGATACACACAGGGACTGTTTTCTTCCCATCTTCGTCCTCTGTCTGCTTAGTTCCTCCCACCCCAGAATTCTGTACGTATCCTTCCAGAATGTCTTAATGTACCTACAAGGAATAAAAAGATTCTTATTATCCCCTCTTATTATACTAAATGTACATCGTACACTCTGAATATACACAAGCATCATGCTTGTTAAATGGTTTTCCCAAAGATGGAGGAGATTTTTTAATTACAGAGTATTCCATTGTATTAATGTGTCATAATTGATTTAACCAGTAATCTCCTGTTGATAGATACTGGACATTGGATTGTTTCCAGATGTTTTGTCATTACCAGCCACACTACAACTAACAACCTTATACATTTCATACATGTGCAAGAATCCTTGTAGAATTAATGCCCAAGCATGGAATTGCTGGGTCAAAGGGTATGTACATTTTTAAAACTTGTTTACTTCAGTCAGTTTTGGGGAACAGGTGGTTTTGGTTACATGGAGTTCTTTAGTGGTGATTTCTGAGATTTCAGTGCACCCGTCACAAAGGGTCCTCCAGTGTGCTGGTTCACATCACTGACACCAATCATGTAGGAAAATCTCATATTTTTGATATTTTTAAAATGCAGTTGTGGCTGGGCACAGTGGCTCACCCTTGTAATCCCAGCTCTTTGGGAGGCCCAGGTGGGAGGATAGCTTTTGAGGCCAGGACTTGTAGTGAGCTATGATCACACCACTGCACTTCAGCCTGGACAACATAGCAAGACCCTGTATCTTTAAAAAAAAAAAAAAAAAAACTGTATAAAGAGCCCAGGCTTAGGAATCAAATAGACCACGCATTTTCCTTGCAAATGAAATAAGATTGCAAATCTGTTTTTCCCCTCCCCCTCCAAACTTTTTTGTTTTAAGCCTGTTCTAAGGTAAGGAGGGCCTGGACTACTGAGAAGGAGGGGTGGAGGATGGGAGGGAGGCCTCGGAGGTTTGGGGAGGCAAAAGGCCTCAGGTGATTTCCACACACAAAAGAGTCATGCTGGCAACTTGTCTAGCCAGTCTGGCCACAGACTCCACCCCTCACACCACCAGCTTGGACCGCCCAGCCTCAGGGTCAGAAGCCTGACTTCACAGCTGCACTCCCTCACCTCCCACAATTCCAGAGGAGAGCTGTCACCCGGAAGGAAACAAGTCTGGTCTTCTTGGCCCCAAACCACACACCCAGACCTATTCATAGCGAGATTGCACAACCTGCTGGAGGGCAGCCCAGCTGGGCATGGGAGAGCAGCCCTGTTCCTGTGCCAGGCCCTGGCCCTTGGGTGCCTCTGGGTGAGCCTGTGCCAGCTTTCAGAGCAGAGCTGTCCCCGTAGCAGCGAGCCTCAAGGGTCTGACTGGCTCTTCCTCCCAAGTGGGAGAACTTGCTCCTCCAAAGGAGAAGCCTCACACACCCCACCCACTGCCCCACTATGCAGGTTGGCACCTGGGCGGAGGGCTTGCTCTCATTAGGGCACACATAAAGCCAGGGGTCAGGCTCTTAAAGGAGAGGAAGCTGAGTCGC